TGTAACCTAGAATCTTGCATCGAAACAGGTTAAAAACATTTCTCGGCTTTTTGAAATACGTGCAAGTTGACAATTACGTAAAATACGTGCAAGTTATCAATGTGCAAAATACTTGCAAGTTGCTATTTCTATTTCAATTTGTAATATACTCTAAATCAGGAATAACTTTCAATCCATAAATATTTAGAATCTTTTATAACAAAATATTCAGTATTTATACATATTATTTTGCAAAGCATCCGAAAAGTTGCCACAGAGATAACTGACTTGAAACGCAAAGTATCCGAAAAGTTGCCACCGGGATAACTGACTTGAAACGCAAAACATCCGAAAAGTTGACACAGAGATAGCTGACTTGAAACGCGAAATATCCGAAAAGTTGCCGCAGGGATAACCGACTTTAAACGCAAAAGATCCGAGAAGTTGCCACAGGGATAACTGACTTGAAACGCGAAGTATCCGAAAAGTTACCATAGGAATAATTGACTTGAAATTTTTTTCTTAGCAAAGAAATATTAGAAAATCTCGAGAAAATTATATGAACATACTTAACCATTTATATATCATTTTATTCGTAATTTTATTCTGCATCTTTCGTACGAACAAAGTTTTTGCGTGTCTTTTACCGTTTCGGAGAAAATCGATAAAAACTAGTGAAAACTTTTAGGGGACATTAGCGAGTAAGTGTAACCTCGAATCTTGCATCAAAACAGGTTGAAAACAATTTTCAGCTTTTTGAAATTAGTAACTTACGGGTACCTCAAACTACATCAAGTAAACTTTTAAGGTACATTAGCGAGTAAGTGTAACCCAGAATCTTGCATCGAAACAGGTTAACAACATTATGTAAAATACGTGCAAGTTATCAATGTGCAAAATACGTGCAAGTTGCTATTTCTATTTAAATTTGTAATATACACTAAATCAATAATAACTTTCAATCTATAAATATTTAGAATCTTTTATAACAAAATATTCAGTATTTATACATATTATTTTGCAAAGCATCCGAAAAGTTGCCACATAGATAACTGACTTGAAACGCGAAATATCCGAAAAGTTGCCGCAGGGATAACTGACTTTAAACGCAAAAGATCCGAAAAGTTGCCGCAGGGATAACTGACTTTAAACGCAAAAGATCCGAGAAGTTGCCACAGGGATAACTGATTTAAAACGCGAAGTATCCGAAAAGTTACCATAGGGATAATTGACTTGAAATTTTTTTCTTAGCAAAGTAATATTAGAAAATCTCGAGAAAATTATATGAACACACTTAACCATTTATATATCATTTTATTCGTAATTTTATTCTGCATCTTTCGTACGAACAAAGTTTTTGCGTGTCTTTTACCGTTTCGGAGAAAATCGATAAAAACTAGTGAAAACTTTTAGGTGACATTATCGAGTAAGTGTAACCTAGAATCTTGCATCAAAACAGGTTAAAAACAATTTTCGGCTTTTTGAAATCAGTAACTTACGCATACCTCAAACTACATCAAGTAAACTTTTAGGGTACATTAGCGAATAAGTGTAACCCAGAATCTTGCATCGAAGAGATAACTGACTTGAAACGCAAAGTATCCGAAAAGTTGCCACAGGGATAACTGACTTAAAACGCGAAGTATCCGAAATGTTACCACAGGGATAAATGACTTGAATTTTTTTTTAGCAAAGAAATATTAGAAAATCTCGAGAAAATTATATGAACACACTTAACCATTTATATATCGTTTTATTCGTAATTTTATTCTGCATCTTTCGTACAAACAAGGTTTTTGCGTGTCATTTACCGTTTTGGAGGAAATCGATAAAATCTAGTTAAAACTTTTAGGGGACATTAGCGAGTAAGTGTAACCTAGAATCTTGCATCGTAACAGGCTAAAAATATTTCTCGGCTTTTTGAAATCGGTAACTTACGGGTATCTCAAACTACATCTAGTAAACTTTCAGTGAACATTAGAGAGTAAGCGTAACCTAGAATCTTGCATAGAAACAGGTCAAACTACTTTTGTAGAAAAATATTGTTTTTGGGTTTTTAGGAATAACATATATTTATTCTATTATTTATTTACATGACATGGTTTAAATAATATATTTTTATTACTTTAAGTTACATTTTTATTTAAAATAAAATTTCTTACATTTAGCTAATACAATTAAAGAAAATTATATCTGAAATCTTCTTTGCTTTCCAGTCGAGGATGCTTTTTATGAGATTGTAGTGTAGCTGTCATAACTCCATCGCGATTTTGCTCTAATACGCGTTCTGATACGTTAGCCAGTAATAGAACATGTTTTGCAGTTCTCTGAATGTGAACGGGAATTTTAGGGTTACTCCACGGACTCTCATTGCTTTGTAGATATTGTACTAGATGTTCATGAGGAATATTTAGCGTGAAGGCTGGTTCGAATATATTTGAATAATCATCCATATCTATCATACCAGTATAGTCGATGCATTCGAAATTTATTTTGGGTGTTTTGTAATCTCTCAATTGCGTCAGGTCTTCCACATTATTACGATAATATAAGATTTTTCTAATAGCTGAATCTCGTATTTCTTTTTTATTATCGAACAACATTGCTAATAAAATATTTTCCGAGTGAGCAAAGTACGCTGTTAAGGCGCGAAGCTTAAAAATTACTTCGACGTCTAACTGGGTCTTGTCGATTTACTTATCCTAACCACTACACTTTTAAATTTGTTCTATAATTGAACTCTTGGTGTGATCGGTGATTATTTAAAGAAAATACGATGTTTGTTAATTAATTTAGATTTATTATAATAAAATATGATGAATATAAGGGCATCAGATAGTTCGTGTTTCTATACTGAGCTCTGAACTTATACTAAATAACTAGTTGGTTTCGTATTTAGCCTTGAGGCAAGTTACATGAACTTCCCGATATGTTGAAATAATCGACTTAATCAATAAAAAATAAATTGATTTATGAGTCATTAAAAGTATTCCGAGTGGATTTGTTACACATAATTGAAAACGAACAAACACTTTGACTCGGAGTAATTTCTAAAGGCAAATTTTCAAAAATCAACAATTATTATAATTGAACCAGTTTCCATAGGACTTTAATGGCTCAGTATGTTCATTAAAACCAAGTACTTTATCGTTATACCAAGTGAGTCGAGTGAATCGTGAGTTTGTGAATTTTTTGTCGTAAGGGTGTAAAATTTCAATAAGTTGTATAAGACCGTGATATATATCGCCAAAAAAAGGTCCATAAAAATTGGCTTAAATCTTTTTTTCAACAGTTAATTACAAGAAAACGGCTCGGTAGATTTTTATCTAAAACTAATCAGTATCACGCCTAACTAATATCTTTCGAACAGTTTTTGATTTTTTTAAATCGATTCGGTAGTTTGAGCACGAAAAGTTTAACACTTTTTTCCAAATTACAAAAAAACGGCTTGGCTGATCATCACACAAAACTGACAAACGATAGTCCACATTGAGATACATCAAATGGCCTTTAAATTGTTGAAATCGGTCCAGCCGTTTTTGAGAAAACATTGATCAAAGGTCTAATTTTGACAAATGCAAAAAACGATACTAATTTTTTCAAACTTTGAAGAATTTTTAAAGCTAGCCCTACGATATTTTTACAGCCCTACGACAAGGCTGTAAAATTTTAATATGATCTAGAAGACTATGGTATCTACCGCCAAAAAAATAATAAGAAAAATCGTCGAATTTTTTTTTAATAAAACTTTATTACAAGAAAACAACCCGGCCGATCTCTACCAAAAACTAATCAGCACGATTCCCAACCAATATCTTTCGAACGCTTTTTGAATTTTCAAAATCGATTAGGAATTGCGGGCTAAAACGTGAACGAAAAACTTTTCACTTTTCTGTAATTTACAAAGAAACGGCTCGGCCAATCGTCACACAAAACTCAGAAACGCTAGCCCTCATGACGATACATCGAATGGCTTTTAAATTTTTTAAATCGGTCCAGCCGTTTTTGAGAAAACGTCGATTTACGGCAAAAAATCTGTTCACACACACGCACACACACACGCACACATATACTTTTCTCAAAATTGGTCTCATTCGATTCAGGATGGCTTGAAACGTCGAGAAAACATAAAATTAGCGAATCGGATTTTTTTATGAAAACATAAACTTCTCCTTCGGTAAGTTAAAAATTAGGATTAACAATATTAGCTCCGCCCGTAAGAGGCGGGTTACATTAATTTGTACATATACAGGGGATGATTTCTTGGACTTAATATATCTGAGAAGGATGATTCCTTGAAATTATCTGACGGCATTTTGCAGACCCATAAATAAAATCATCGACGCTGATATGGAAAGTCCAGACCATTACATCAAAATTAAAAATATATTAGGTTACTAATGCATTTAGTACTTGAACTGTGAATGACATTAGACTACCTGCGTCATAGTCCGGTGACACTCTAGTCTAGCCCTAGCATAACAGACGACCCTTACAAAAAATAGTTCATGTGTGAAATGAAATGCAGACAGTCGTCTGCATCGCCAGGCGACAGGCTATCGTACCAGAATACGAGACGATACGATACCCCTACAAAAAATAGTTCAGTTTACCACTATTGGGAATCCTTAAAATGGCGGGCACCTTGAAATAATACTAATATTATTTTGAAATTAAAGATACATTAATTATAAGCCTAATAATATAAGTAATTAAAAAAAATTAAGAAAGTAATATAAAGTAACTAATTTAAACTTCACTAACTCATGTCACTAATTGAAAGTTATTAAATTGTATTAAATTGTTTGTCATAAAATTGTTTTGTTCCATTATTTTGTGCACTTCACTTAGTTTATATATTCACATGATTTTGTTCATTATCAATGGGTAAAGCACAAACCTTAGTGGCAGCTCTTTTGAAAACGTTATTTTGAACTTTCACTGTCACTACACGCACTTCCTTATCTGGTCCTGGATGCACCTCGATAATGCGACCTAATTGCTAATTCAGTGGAGGTACATTATCTTCTCTGAGAAGTACCATGGTTCTGACTTTTAATGATTGGCCTACTCTGCAACCCCGAAATGTATTCCTTATGCCAGCGTTTCCAAAAATGTTGTGCCAAACGCTGTAGGTGCTGGTAGCGTCCTAGTCTATTTTCAGGAATGTCAAGTACATTAGGGTCGGGAATAGATGTTGAGGATTTGCCAATTAAGAAATGGCCAGGAGTCAATGGATTTAAATCATTAGGATCGGAACTCAAAGGAGAAATTGGCATGGAATTTAAAATAGCTTCAATCTGTGTTAAAATTGTATAGAAATCTTCAAAGGTAAGGCATGCATTTCCTAAAATTCGCTTTAGATGCGACTTACATGATTTTATACCGACTTCCCAAATACCTCCAAAATGGGGTGATTTAGCAGGAATAAAATGCCAATTGATGCCGTCGTCACTTAATGATTTCATAACATTACTAAGGTTATTTTTGCACAAAAAATTAGCTAATCTTTTAATTTCCATTCGATTACCGACAGTTGAACTGTTCACATCGCTATTATCAGCAACGTTACAACAAGCCAGTCTACGTGTAGTCAAATAATAACAAACATATTATACCTGTACAGTATAGATATCTAAAACTGCCATGTGCCCCTTGTGAGTGCACGCAAGTAAATTTAATTTTCTATCTATTAAAAATTAACTCAATCGAGTTTAATTTAAGTGAAATTAAAAGTGTTAGTGACATGAGTGACGCTGCCTACGGGCAGGTAAATAATTCCGAGATTAACGGGACCCGACTCGGCGAAATCTGTGCTTGCGTATCGAGCGCAATACAAACATTATATAACACAAACAATGCAGATTATTCGGTTAACGAAATTATAAGTGAAAAAAAGTCATTAGGAAACACAAAAATTAAACATAAAATCAAACCTAGCATTAGCAAAAATTCCGAAAAAAATATAAAAAAAAAATACTGACATTATTCCAGAAATGTTAAAATCTGGTACTATCAATAAAATTGAAAATAAACAACTTAAACTGAATATTCCTAGTGAAATTAGCCAAAATATAACAATGGAACATGGTAATTTAGAACCAAGTCAAAATGTTATGGAAGTTACCGCTATGAACGATGTCAACAGTGAGTCATCAATTGATACTAGTGACCTTAACCAGGGCTGGACAACCGTTAAAAATAAAAAACGCTCACAGTCAGAAAATCCAAGTACCTCAATGGAACAACATACTTTAAAGGAATACTGGCTGAACCCAACTCCCACTAGCAACTACTTTGATGTTTTAGCAAGCACATCAGTTCAAAAAGGCGCCGACAAACAAACATCAAACACACCACCTATCTTTGTACATGGCGTAAACGACATTGAACCTTTATTTGGTTTACTTGAGACTCATGTAAAAGGTCAGTACTCATACAAAATAGTAGGAAACGATCAAGTCAAAATTAATACCAAAGATGCTCACGTCTACAATATAGTTTTAAAGTTGCTACATGAAAAGGGCACACAATTACACTCCTATCAAGCCAAGTGTAAGCGAACATTTAAAGTAGTGGTGAAAAATTTGCACCATAGCACTAACATCGAAACACTTACAGAAGAAATTATTACACTCGGTCACAAGGTCGTACGCATCTACACAATAAAACACAGAGTAACAAAAGCTCCACTTAATATTTTTGTAGTGGAACTTGAGCAAAGCAATAATAATAAAGATTTATACTCCATCGAGTACCTCTACAGAAAAAAGTTACTATAGAAGCTATGCGCCATAGAAGAGAAGTTCCGCAGTGTACAAGATGTCAAAATCTTCGACATACAAAAAATTACTGTTCACGCATCGCACGCTGCGTAAAATGTGCCAAAAAGCATCTAACAAAAGATTGCCCCTGGAAGGACCCAGTCAACGCCGGCGTTAAATGTGCTCTTTGTTCTGGTAATCACCCAGCCAGCTATATAGGGTGCACCATTTATAGAGAAGAAAGACGACGCAGATTCCCTCCCCCGAGGCAAAGACAATCCGCCCAACCTAGTGACAATTCTCAACATTTCGTCCGTCCAAACGTTTCCTTTTCTGATGCTACTTCTAGAAGCATAAACAGCAACAGAATCCACAGGGACAACCAAGGACGACTGTCGTCAGACAATCAACAGCAAATAATTACTCCAAGTAACCAACAAACAGACATGCAAGAACTAAAAGCTATGATGAAAACTCTCATGGACCAAATAAGCACTATGCTGAACATTTTGACAAACCTTCGACCTTTGAGAAAATGATGGCCTCATACTACAAACTATGTATATGGAACGCCAATGGTCTTGCGCAGCACCACCAAGAAGTAAAACAATTTCTTCGACGTAACGATATTGACATAATGCTAATCAGTGAAACACATTTTACTAGCAAAAGCTACCTTAACATTACACAATATACAACATACAGTACTAGACATCCGGACAACAAACCACATGGTGGAACAGCCATCATAATAAAGTTTAAAATCAAACATTCTCTGTTAGATCCATACTGCAATGAGTTTCTACAAGCCACGAACATTTCTATTGACTTTCCTCAAAATAGAATCACAATTTCTGCCATTTACTGCCCCCCAAAACATAAAATATTTAAACAATATTTTGACATTTTTTTCAGTGCTCTAGGAAATAAGTTTATTGTTGGAGGTGACTATAATGCGAAACATCCATATTGGGGATCAAGACCCATCAATCCTAGAGGACGTGAACTCTACAGCTCCATGCTCACTAACAATTTAATCCCGATCTCAATCGGTGAACCAACTTATTGGCCGAGCGACTCAAACAGAATTCCGGATTTGTTAAACTTCTACATAACCAAAGGAATAACAATCAGTAACATAAAACCTCAAAATAGCCTAGATTTGAGCTCTGACCACTCTCCTGTTATACTAATCATTTTTTGTAAACAACCACCGATTATCATAAAACCTTACCTGACCAAAAAATTCACGGACTGGAACAAATTTAGAGAACTGCTCGATACCAATTAAATTGTAATATGTTATTAAAGTCAGAAAACGACATAAATAACGCGGCAAATCATCTCACCGAAACACTACATCATTCGGCACTAAATAGCTCTCCTTCAATTACAACCAGTAATGAACTCAACTATCCTCTGTACATCAAACAACATATTGCGATTAAAAGAAGACTCCGAAAAATATGGCAAACATCAAGATCTACTCAAGATAAAACAAGATTGAACAGCGCCTGTAAAGAAGTAAAAAGATTACTGAAAGAATACAACAACAACGTACTTGAAAAAAGAATCAAAGACCTGACGGCTACTAAGGACACGAATTACTCCATATGGAAATCTACTAAACATTTCAAACAACCTATACTCCCAGTAATTCCTATTAGAAAAAATGATAACTCCTGGGCAAAAAGTCATCAAGAAAAGGTCGATTTATTTGCTGATTTCTTCGAAAATGTATTTCAACGATTTCCGCAAAACTACTTCCAGGAGAAGCAAACGACTGAAGAAATACAGTTTGAAAACTTTTTCAACCAAGAGTGTACTCAAATCCGCTTCCTGGCATCAGAAGTCAAACATGAAATTTCAGTCTCAAGATCAGGTAAATCTCCTGGCCATGATCTTATATCAATCCTGAAACAGCTCCCACCAAAAACTCTGAGGTACATAACAATTCTGTTCAACTCTTTCCTAAGATTAAAAGTGTTTTCTAAGGCGTGGAAAGTAGCTAAAGTAACTATTTTTGCTAATACTATTTTTGAATCGCTTCAAAGCATTTCGCGATTAATGGAAATTTCTAAATTATCTTTAACTCTATTAACTAATTTTGATAATAAATGATCCGCGCATAATTCTAAACACGGCAATGTGATGTTTCGTAACGGAGCAACTCGCGATTTTGCCGCTGCAATATGTACTGAGCAATCCAAGTTATTATTAATAGTTTTTATGTATACACAAGCACCTTAGGCGCTTTCAGATGCATCGGCAAATCCGTGTAATTCACAAATGATAAGATGGTGCAGATACATATGTCTATTAATATTGATGTTATTGATAAATTTTAAATTATTACAAAATTGTGACCATGTTTTGGTTATTTTTGATGGTACTTCTTCGTCCCATGCTTAATTTGCACTTCCATAACTCTTGCATGATTAATTTTGGAATTATAACTACTGGCGCTAACAGGCCTAATGGATCATAAATTTGTGCCGTAGTGGCTAATATTGTCTTCTTAATGATTTTATTACTTATAGCGGTAGTGTCTGTCGTATATGCAAATTTATCAGAGTGCGAATTCCATACCATCCTTAAAGTTTTAATTTGTTTCTCGCTGAAATTTACGATATAATCTTCACTTTGAAAGGCTACGTGATTGCTATTAAATTTTCGTAGATTAAACTTGGCTTGATTCAAAATCTTTAATAAATTTTGCTTTATAGTTTTTAACTGCGGTAGAGTATCTGCTCCGGTAATTAGATCATCTACATAGAAATCCTCTCTAATTATTGCACATTCAATGGGGTAACTTTCATAAATTTCCGTGCACAATTGTTCAAGACATCTTATGACCAAAAATGAAGCAGATGCTGTACCGTACGTTACTGTATTTATTGCGAAACATTTTATAGAATCATTTGAATTATCGCGCCAAAATATTCTCTGAAACTTTCTATCATCCTTGTGAATTATAACTTGGCGATACATCGCGACGAGTTTCCGTATCCACCTTACTTAACATTAAATATATAATCAATGAATCCCAATTATTGACAGGCTCGCCTAACGCTTCCAAACAACGTAAATTTGTATTGAAGCTATCCACTAACTTTCTTAACATTTTAAAGTCTTCTGTCTTCATTTCCGAATGATTAAATAAATTTTCAATATGGTTATTAATTATTAACTTTTTATTTTCGAACCTATCTTTAAGTAATTCCTAAGCAATCTTGTAATTTGCTGCCGATGATGGCAATGAATAAATTACGCTTGCAGCTTCATTTTTTAGGCAAGATTTCAAATAATAAAATTTTTGGGCATTGCTTAGATTTGTATCGTTATGTATTAATGCGGTAAAAGAATCATAAAATTGCAACCAATTACTATAGGAACCGTCAAACGTTGATAATGCGATATTTGGAAGCCTAATATTATTTTGAAAACCGTGTGATTGCTCGCTTGGAATCGAGCTGCTCGACTTCGATTGTGGTATTTTATTAATTAAAGAATTTAAAATTTCTTTTAATCGATCACAAGTATCAATGACTTCGGAGAGATCGATCTCACATAACTTATTCGACTCCACCTCGTCGTCATTGATAGTAATTAAATTAATGATTACGTTTTCATAATCTTTATTTAAAGTATTCAATTCATCTAAACGATTACCGAGATCACTACTATTTAATTCAGACATCGGC